CATTTTCATTATGTATTATCTATAGGAGCAGTTTTTGCTATTATTACTAGATTTATTCATTGATATCCAATAATTACAGGTCTAATATTAAATCAAAAATGATTAAAAATTCAATTTATTATAACATTTATTGGTGTAAATATAACTTTTTTTCCTCAACACTTTTTAGGATTGATATCTATACCTCGACGATATTCAGATTATCCTGATTCTTATTATTGTTGAAATTTAATTTCATCAATCGGAGCAATAATTTCAATAAATAGAATATTATTCTTTATTTTTATTATTTTTGAAAGATTAATTTCTAATTAATGCAGTCTCTTACTGCAGTCTTACTAAATTCATATCCAAATCTGTGTACTCTTGTCGCGTGTTTCTGTCTAGAATTTCTTTAGAGTTAAAAGAACTCTCGGATAAATGAAGAAAAGTGCCTATTAAATGATTTATCTGGCGTTTCCTGCCGGCTGAATTAACCAGCGTCGAGTCGCGACAATAACATGGAACGAGGAAATTAGAGAACGAAACTGTCGTACGTTTGGATCGAATGAAAACTGGAAACAGGTTTTCGGGGCTTGTTAGAACGTTTTTCAGCTGATGTTTCGCAATCGACGTGAAAGTTTCTCAAAAATCGTGAAAGGAAGAAAGAAAGTACAAAACGCGCGTCGTTTCGACGATAAATCGTACATTGCCGATCTTTCTCGTTAAAACTCGATCGTCGGTAAAAACTTGCGTTTTTAAATTCAACGTGTTTTATACCGCGGCCGTCAAATACGCGACCACACGCGCCTAAAGAAAGAAAGTACGTTTCATGTCTTAGAAAGCAATGCGAGGAGCTACAGGCGCATCTAACCCTCGATTTACGTGATGCATTCCTCAATGATAATGTGCAAATGGAAATTATGAGAAATGAGACTAATATTTTGCTTTAAAAAATCGGCAGAATGAAAGATGGATACCATTTATTCGTATCTTCCTTTCCTTCTTTCTTTTCTTCCCGCTGCATAGAAAGCATACACGTATCTACTTATATACGTTACGCATTAACTTTATCTCTGCAAGAGTTTTTAAGACTCTGTTAACTTGCAGAAACGTAAGACGAGATACGTATAGGAGGAGGTTGAGACGCTATCTTAATATCTTTTTGCAAATGAATTGGAAAATTATATTTATTATCCTAGGTGCGAAAAGTTAATGAAACGGTTCGCTTCTCTGATCGCTATATTATACTTCACGATTATCGTACGTATCGTGTTTTGCTGTGTGTTTAAAGAATATAAACGATAATACTGGAGACATATAGATATACGTAATTGCTTAGTTACTGTGAGTGTTGAATTATACGATACAAATAACATTGAAAAGTATTTCGATACATACTTTTTCGAAGATACATACTTGTTGCAAGAAACATTAGAATATTTAATCTCTTCGGGAACGAATTTGATAAGACTAAAAGTACAATACGGTCGTGTTTAAATAAAGTTAAGGATACTGACAATTATTCGAAACATCGGGGAAAATAGTAAGACGATACAGACACTTTCGTAGATTCTATGAAATACACAATCGTTCGATATCTCGCACCGATTTCTACGACGACGTTATTCGTTTAAAATTCCACGATTTTTCTCTCTAAGAAACAGAAACGTACGAAGAGAATATAACTGTAAAAGAAATGCAATCTGATTTTAACAATGAGAAAAGAGAATCGTGGGATCGCATCACGCAACACGAGCTATCGCGTGGAATCTATCGAATAATTATTATCGTAATTGGAGCACGGCTGCCTCGCTTTGATTAGTATTGCGTTATAATTACTCCCAATCGGTCAGCGTGTCTCTCGATTAACGTGGATTATTCTTCGAGGATCAGTCATTGAGAATGTAAGATCAGAATTGTGACGCAACAGAAGAACGTTACTATTCAGAGAGTTATCGTAGCTGCTGTCGGATAACGTGCTCCATGTCAGAAACATCGGATTCCGGAAGTCCATTATTACGTCGTCCCGCGCTCCATTAGAATCACGACGTTTTTATGGTTAACCAGTTACTTTTTCTTCCACGTACGTAGATCGTCTGCTCGTGTCATTAAGCCGGAGGAAAGTGCTTGAAATTGATCTGCTATCGTGATGATAAAAGTACAGGTTTCACTGTGGAAGACCTTGGTGATTTCGAGCGAAAGAATCGGAACTTGGAGGAAACTAAAGACGCACAGCGTTTTGTTGCGCGTCGTGGAACTTGTACATTCTCTTCTTTCTTTTTGCATCTTGGGTTTTTACGCATTTGTGACGAACTTCGAGATACAGAGATGTGCATATTAATGCACGCGATACATACAGATGTAAGTGTAGAAATCGGTAGTTTAATTAATATGCATAAACGTAGCGTAATCGTAATATTTAGTAGGCAAAGCAAATATTTTAGTAGATCGTATTTCTGTAATTTTCTTTCGAAAAATATGAATTTCCATAAATATTCATAGCTCAAATATTCATCAAGAATTGTACTCTTTTTCTTTCTCTTTTTCACTACTCTTGCTTACTTTGATAGTTCTTTGATAGTTGACTCACTTCTTTGATAGTTCTCGAAGATTATCGCTGATAATCTTGATTTTTCTTAAGGAAACAAAGAGCGAATAGACGGGAAATAGATTAAAGACACAGAATGTTTTATAATATTACAGAATCGTGAATCTTATCTTTTGAACTTAACCCAAACGAAGAAACTTCTTTTGCAAAGCAACTGTGTGTAAACGAAAGGAAATTTGAAATGCGTAAGAGACATAGAGCATTATGTAACATTATACATTTTCCGAAGATTAGGAATCTTATTTCTTCAAATAACATAGTATTTAATGATCAAATTAATCTACGAGATTATCGTCGATAATACTCATTTTTCTCGTGAGTAATTAGACATAGATGACCGTCGTTGTTTCAGGAAGAACGAATACTGGCCTTTTTGCGTGTCATTGTTATTTTCTAATAGGCAGGGTATTCGCTTGGCGTGGAGAAATTCACATCGGATCCGTTCACATGCAGGAAAATGACGGACTGGGGAATCGTCCTCTGGAAAATCGGCTTGTAGAAAGCCGATTGTCAATGAAGACGTCGCACGCACAGACGCGCTAAAATAATTTAATTCTTCTTTCGCGAGCTCCTGTACGTTGCAAGGGATTAGATTGCTGCGTAAAATTTATGTAACTCGTTTCGCTGTTTCATCGGAATAAAAATTCCTTTTATGGTAAATGAGATGTTACTTTATCAAAATAATTGCATCATCTACGATATAAGAATGTAATAATCTGTATCTTATGGAAGATACGACTCGATACAATATAATTGTATTATGGTTAGTTATATTATATAAAATCAAATATTCGTTTTAAGAAGTAAAATAAATTCCTACGTAATAATTCTAACATTTCATAACACTTTTTATAGTATACTTATAATATTTTGTAATCGTTTAAAATCAAAGAATACCTGTACGATCCAGCTCTTTTTGCACGACAAATTATCAAGAGGAGAGTAGTACATTTCGTTACTGTAACATTCATTTTCGCAAGTAGTTTCTTATCGCGTAATTAAGACATCGAACACGATCTTTAATTACCGTAACAACCAAAAATTACACCGCTACTATTCTTTATCCGTCATAACATCGTGGGAAAACATTTCCTTAGCTACAACCGCTTAATTTATGGTGCACGTACACGCCATAAATGACACGTGTCAGATGGTCAAACACCGGACGAGATTCTCAAAAGTGAAATCTACGTCAACAGTGTGGACGAGCTGCTTGTTTGACTCGACTCCAGTCTTGTTCTCCGAGTGTTCGCTGAAAATATTAATGAGATGCTGGACCAAACGAGCCTAAGAGATTATTCGGCGGTTTAGAAACTTTCTAAAGATCCATGCCAGATTAGATGAAAGGGGGTGCGTGCGCTCTGTTTTGTTTTGCAACAAAGTATTTCAGAAATATGTTAAATATTATAAAAACAGGTACTTGCCAGTTATGTAACAGTATCTCTCTTCTAATCTTTATTTTCTAATCCGTGTGGTCATGATTTTTCAGATTTCTATTTTCCAAGGTCGTCGTGTATTATACAAGCTTCTATCGGGAGATATGAGATACTCTAGAGAAAAAAATATTTGTAAAGTACTATATTTTACTATGTTTCCTTTAAATTTGTAAAATACCATGTACTTATCTTGTACTATGTTTCTTTTAAATCTTATACTTTTTCTTACTATATTCATCGTTCATTAAGTCTCAAAAATTCAATTACGGTTTAATTAGCATCATTCGGTTTATGTTATTCGGTCGATTGAATTTCTATTATTTAATAATATTTAACGTAAGAAATCTCTTTTTGTTAGACGTCGAATATATTACACCTCTTTATATTCCTTTGCATCGTTGAACTTTCTTCATTCTTGACTATTTTCCCTGGTATTTATCTGCAACATAATACAACAGTAACAACTTATATTTTGCTTAAAATATGCTGTCAGTCGTAGATTAGATAATAAGATAAATATAGCTGCGTGACAAATCTCGAAGCATACGTTCTATGGTAACAATAAGCGTAAAAGAGTGAAATCGATAATGCAAATGTTGGACATGCTGGTTGCGTGTCGTTTTATGAATTCCATGCTGTTCAAACTGAATTCACAATTAGGATTCTTAAATAATCACTTTCTTTGCATACTTTCCCCCTTTGTCATTTTTTTTTTTTTTTAATTTGACAGGTCCATTAACCATGAAACACATTTCTGCGATATTTCGTAGAAATTCTTAGAAAAATAGGTATTAGGCTTTTTAATCAAATGCAAATGAAAATCATCCTTTCGAATAAAAATAACGAAATCATAATTTTAATCTAAGTAGAAAAGAATAATGCGAACAAACAGCAACTTTATTCGCACGAACAGAACACGAGACACATTGTAAGCAAATTCATCTTACATTCGCAGGATTAATTTCAGGACTGTAACTTAAAGATATTCCATCGTTTTCTGCATTCCAGATTATATAGATTATTTTTATCTCGTGCATACACCACTTTACAAAACTTTTTCGTTTTATACATCCTAGATTACATCCAAGATAACTAGACTATTACAAAACGACTACTAACAGTAAGTCCATAAAGTAGACAACAGCAAAGGTAAATTCTATGAAAGAGAAATTGACAAAATTATTGGAATAAATTTTTTCTGTGTAATTAAACGTATTATTATTTAAATTGAATATATTATATTACACGATAGTGGGTTATTTCAATTCAATAAATGTTCGTCCATTCATTACTCCATATGAAATTCCCTGAAAGAGAAAACCTAGAGAAATTACTATCCTTCCTACACTTTTATTTTATAGTTTCCAAATTATATTCAAAATAATCAATTCACTATGCTCTATACTATACTCTTAATACAAATACCAATATTATGCTTCTAATACAAATTTGCACAGATATTCTTCTAAAATAATATTCCATGAAAGGGAAATCTCATAACAATCAGCTTGCTTCCTCTACATTTTTATTCCTACATTACATATTCGAATTAATCGGATCATTGCAAAACCTCTAATTAAATCTACGAAGAAGAGAAGAGTAAAACCAAATTAGAAAATTCCTCTCTTGCAAAATAAAATCCGACGAAGAAGCAATTTATAAAATTATGGAAATATTTACAAAAAAAAGGGAAGACAATTCTGTACAAAAATGAAAATCCTGTCCAAACTTATGGTACTTACGCCCTACTCCTAATATCAATAGCCATCAACGTCCATCCTGCAAAATTAATTTCCCTATTCATAGACCACAAAGGCTACCATTAACCAACCCACTTCTACGAATCCTTCATTATCCCATCTCACGATCCGAATATTTGTACACGTCGCTTTGTTACACGCTACTCGATGCATCTGCGTGCGAACTCTTCCCGAAGTGGCACTTTCATCAGAAATGTCAAGAGTCACACGAGATACCACAAGACGGTATTCTTACAGATGCAATATTCGTACAGCTGAATTTTTCTCTTTTGGACACGCGGTCGACGCTCGGCTCGTTAAACGCACGAAACGCCGACGTTGTAACGTCGTTGGCGAACAGAGGCGTTTCATCCCGGGGCCCCGTAAGCATTCCTTCGCCGGTCAGAAATGAAAATTGCTTTTCCTTTTCGGTCGTAGTTGCTTTAACGACTGGTGTGAAAGTTCGCCGCTGAGGTAACATCCATTCGAACACAAGGCAACTTACGACCTAACGAAGGTGTGGTTTCAAACGCATTCAAACGGATGATCTGTTTCTCAACTGTAAGACAGTCTACCTCTCTCGAAAAGCCACTTTGTATCAGAACAATAACCCGCCTTCCTTTTACATCTTTGCACCTTTTACACCGTGAGACAGCATTGCTGATTATTCTTCCTCTTTTTTTTATTAGCAAACTGAGGTGCAATACTGGCGAAACATCTTTCTTTACGTCCACACGTGTTCCCTCGCGTTCCAATCGTCCTGCAATATATATATATTTTTTATTTATTTCATTTAAGATTGCGTCGACCATTCTTGTGGTCATTAGAGATCGCGATTGGCGAAATATATACCAAGAATATTTTCAAAAAGTAAGTGTAAAATACAGTAAGAAAAATTGCGAATTGAAATAATAGCATCTATACATTCTGAACATATATCGTACACAGTGCAATTGCAGTACGATACGGTACAATTAATCTAAACTTAAATGAATGTGATGTAGTGTATGTTGGATGTCGATCGCTTACGATATCGTAATTGCTGACGTACAAATTAATATCTTTGAGAGAACAAGGAAGGTTTTCGCAATGCTTTTTACGATTTCGACATGTCTGAATCTGATTTGGCAAGTTTAATTTAATCTTGTATCAGGGAACGTTATTATCATTGAACAAGATTACCTACAGACAGGATACAGTTACACTGTCTGCGTTTATTCGGCTCGTTTTTAGTTATAATTATAATGGAAATCGAAATTGTATTACGTATTTCTTAGAATGTAACGTACCTGAGAAGTTGAAAAGCATTCGTACGAAGGTTTTTACTTCTCTCAAGTGCGAAATAAGTTAAGAACGTGGTGTCATTATCCGTAATAATCTAGCGTGGGTAAAAGATTTGCGTTGAAATTTCTTGCATATTCTTTGCGTCTATGCAAATTATCGTCCCTGTTACGCCGAAAGAAACTACAAAAGTAAGAATTACTTGGTGTTTAATTTTTTCTCTTTCTTTTTCACACAGCTATTCAGTTAGAGAAATAGAATAATTCACGATCGTAATTTTCAGTGAGTAACAAACGCTCTGCTAAGATAAAGATCCGCGATAATAACAGGAATCAGCTATAATCGAAGCGAAAATTTCAATTACATTTTACCTTGTTCCATATCTTTTCTTTTTTCTTCTAATAGAAATTGCCAGTGGATTTTATACTTTTCAACCTACTTTCTAGCATTAGAAAATACTCTCGTTGTTCGAAAATAGGCTCATTGAATAATTGCGTGATATTTGCTTCAGATCGAATTAAGAATTATTATAGCGTGAAACGGTTGTGAATAAGTATAGGCGAATCGAAGTATGAATGATCGCGTATCGTAGAAACATGTAGCAAGAAAGTGGCACACATTATAGCCGTTGTAATGAGAAACAACGATGAAGGCCGATATTCAATATTTTATAGTGTGTGAGCATTGTTCGTTCAACCATGAACTGCATTTGGTTTTTAATTACTGAATTACTCCAGAAATATTATTCTCTTTGTATATGTAACTCTAGAACATTGAAGAGTGTTAAAAGATAGCAAAAAACCTGAATGAAAATGATCTAACAAATAAAAAGTAGAAAATCTAAAAAGACTTACCGAATCATAAATTATATCTTGTTTAGGTAATTAACAAATTATTCTATAATTAATGCCTTATTTTATCAACGATTATTAATCGAGTATTCGATTGTTATAACGATACTTTATTGATAAAGTATTTTTATTATTTATTAACGAATAATCCATTGTTTATTGATCTTCAGAGGTATACGTCAACTAATAAGTTAAAAGATGGCTCAAAAACTTGTTAATATCTCGTTGTTCTATTTTAAGCACGTAATACACACGACAAATTTTCACACGCTTATACAGGCATTCCTTCCATAATTATGTAAAAACGGAATTACGTCTCGTATTCTTCATGGGACGAAAGTCCTGTCGAAGTTCGACATTTCTAAAAAGAGAAAATCATTGTGAAACGTCCAGATGTTCCAACAGAATTTATTCATACACGTCGTACGAATTTATAAAGTAATGCTCTTCGATCAATTAGTAAAAGACGAAAACGGCCGCAATAAATTTCCGCTTACCTGATCACGTATGCGTAGGAACTTTCGGATTCTCTCTATTTATCGATGTGACATACGTCCGTTAGTTGAGATTATTTAGCTGAAATACCTTTTTTCTTTTTTTTTTGTAAGTTCTGTACCTTTAATTAATAAATTGTATTAATAAATTGTGACATTCAATGTCACTTTAATATGAGTCATAGAAGATTTTAAAATAAACATGAGACATACCTTTGAGAAGTGTGCTGCATATTTTAGGAGAATTTTCAATAAGCTTTCAATAATTCTTGAATTTTTTTTTTTTCAAAATTAATTTGCCTTTTGGCACATGGGATGTCTAATTTCAAATAGGGCATCTATACTGTGTTGTATAATGCAAAGAATATTTGTTGTGTAATTTAAATGATATTAAAATTGTCTTCTTATGGGAATCTGAAAGTTTTAAGAATTAAGCAGACGACCTGTTTAAAGAGCGATATTCATTGTTATATTTTCTCTATCGTAATTACGTTATTCATATAACTGTAAAAAGTTTTATTTCAATAATATAGACCTAAAAGATAATTATTAAATTTCGATAATATATTTTCTTTAGTTTAAAATTTAATTAATGGATAATATTCTTATGTAACGTTGCAGGTAACGCTAGTGTTTCTATTGGCGACAGTGTCGATCACCCTGACGAACTCTCAAGAGACAGGGATTCCTGACAAGGGTTTGGATGTGACCCAAGCACCGATAAAACTGGACAAAAACCTTCGCCGAGCTCTCTTGAAAGCCCTGACCGACTTAGAGGCGGAATCTGCTGAGCAGAGCAAAGAGGAATCGGAAAACATCGCTCAAAGAGACACGAGCGCCTTTGAGGTTGTAGCAAAGAAGAATCTGAACGATGATCTCGACGTGCAGAAAAGTAAGTTCTCGTTCAAGAGTTTCCCAAGCGACGACGATATACCGAGCGAAGATAAACTACAGAATTCCAGTTTCATCGACGCCTTTCATTACGTAACTTTGAAGACACCAATGATGAACATCGAGAAAGCTACGCAAGAAGACGCTAGGAGCTTTCATGTGCAGAACGTGATACTACCGGTGAAAAATTCAGCGACCTTCGGAATCAAAACCGAACCCAAGGTGCAACAGAAGGAGAAAACGACGCAAGCCACGTTTTCAGTGAATAAAGTGGAGAGTTTAACTTTGAAACCAGCAACTCAGATCTCTGAGAGTTTAGCAAGAAGTGCTTCCAATGGAATTGCCACTGCCAATGCCTTGGTTGCTCCAAAACCAACTGAAATCACCCCTACAGTGCCAACAAGAAAGAACGTAACAGTGATTGAGTCTAACGACTCTAAAGACAAAACAGAGGAAGTTAAGATTTTCCAGGCACCCTTGGTAGCAGCGTTTACCGTGCAACAGGATGAACAAGGTGTACCCAAAAGCGTGGTTCCAATATTTAGATCTCCCAACGATGGACAAGCTCTGACTCTCCAAGAGCAGTTGGAATTTAAACAGCAGCTTCTGGAGAAACAATTGGCGGAACTTCAGCAGCAACAGATCCAGCAGACACAGTTTTTAGTGAGGCAACAACAATTATATGAGCAACAACTGAGACAGAAGCAACAGCACCAGTTTTATCTGCAGGAACAAGCTAGAATTAAGCAACTAGAGGAACAAGCTAGGATTAAACAATTGGAAGAACAGACTAGAATCAAACAGTTGGAGGAGCAAACTAAATTGAAACGACTGGAAGAACAGGCTAGATTCAAACAGTTAGAGGAGCAACGTTTTAAGTTTGAGGAGCAGAGACTGAATAGATTCCAGCCTCAGCGTCCTATACCTCAAAAGCAGTCCTTCTTTGAACAGAGCAATAACATCTTAAACTTTCAGCCTCCTGTTGAATCGAACGTTCACCTGCAGCCTAGTTTGGCTCTGGAAGTACCAAACATTGACGCGTCTCCAGCTTTCCAGCCAACTTTCCAACCAGACCAACGTCTGCAACCATTCAGACAACAGCCACAGGCACACCATCAGCTTCAACAACAGCAACCGCCGCAGTTACCTCAACCACAGCAATTGCAACAATTGCAACAACTTCCACAACCTCAACAGTTGCAACAACTTCCGCAACCTCAACAGTTGCAACCACCCCAGCATCACCAGAGACTGCAACAGAGCTTCGGCTCTTTCTCGAACGATTTCCAGCCTTCGTTAGCACCTGCGTCGAGGTTTAATAGACAGGAAGCCTTTAATTCTATTGGAAATTTCGGATTCAACGTGGACAATAAAGCGAATACCGCAAACGTTCGCTTTAATCCTCCACACAGGACTCCAGGGAACTTCTTTTCTTTCACGCAGTTCAAGTCTCAGGCGCACCCTCCCACGCCGGCCAGGCAGATTCAACAGCTTCTTTATCAGTCTGGAATCGCCGGAGATCCGAACAACGCGCAAGGGATTGGAAGTCCTGAAGATTTAAACATCGTTTCCAAAGTTCTGGCACTGAACGTGGGCGCCGTGCCGAATAAGAATTAGTTCAGAAGAAGAAGGAGGCTGAAATTAGACGAGTCATGTTAATCGCTGCAGGACGATATTAGCAAGGTGAAATCGAGCTCCCATTTTTTCCTTTCCTTATCCCCTTTAGCCGCCTTCCTCATCTCCAATCTAACGTATGTATCGTGTACGAATTTTTCTCTAGATAGTGATGGCGAAAATGTCGTGTTAATTCGTATTCATATTTATCTTCGGATAGATAGAAATTGGAGATGTTTTGTTAGTTGAGTTTCCGGTCGTCAGTCGATATTTGGTTTCTTTCTAGATCTTCTTGATATCGGTACATGCATATTAAAGATTAGATACTGATTATAGTAGAACTTCGTTTAATTGAACTCATTGGAGGATAAATAGCTCATATAACTGGAATTCATATATTTGATAAGAGTTTACTCATTCAGGAGTGCGTTATTTGTGATTTTTCGCTCGTTTTCTCGTATATCTTTTTACTTTCATATTATATTTCATTATCAGTGCTTTTTCGTATACTAGGAATTCTCGTTCAGATAAGCAGAGCCAATAAACAGATATTAGATCGTTTAAGTAGGCACTAACTAAAATTTCGCTGCAATAAATAGAGTTCTACTGTCAGGATATGGGCAACTAAGAAACAGCGTTCCGACAGAGAAGGAATAATAATTCATTGAAAATAGACAACGAAAATACGAGAGAATTTATGAAATTAATATATTTTATATCTTGCCTGAATCACGTGCTACGTTATGAAAGGATTAATCAAACTTCTCGCGTCTTAATATCGAGTCACTCGTAGGATCAAAGATACAGACTATACTCGTACCAAAATCCACTTTTAACTCTGGATTTAATTTCAAACCAAGAATTCCTGAATACAAATTGCATGCGATATTTTGCACACAAAAGATATGAATATTTTGATATAAATAGCTAATACTCATGGAAAAAATTAGATACCGCAAGGGGGTTAATAATTCAATTACCGATACTAGTTCGATCAACAGTAAAAGTTCGGAATAACGTCGATTATTCGCGAAGATATTTTCTGTCCGAAGGTTTCGTCGAATGGAATGCATCAGGTGTATTGTAATCAACGAGCATGAGCGCGATCTCGAGCAATTCCGAGTGAAATCGAACCGAAACCGTTCGCATAACAACCGTGCAACAACTCACTGATCCCAAGGTGCGTGGGATCGAAACAATTCCCGAAGAAAAACGCGACTTTCCACCGGTGTCATCGCAATAAGGAAGTCCTTAACAGATCTTGATGATATTAATTAAAATCGAGAAGATTTTTAGCTTAAGGATTCATCGTTTGCACCACACGCATAAATTATGGGAATTACATAACCTTAAATCCGCGTTACAACACGCAGATTCTGTACATAATCGCACGATCCCTTATTCCCTAACCTCAATTTCGCTTTCTTTCTCCTCTTTTCCTTCTCTTTTTCTCTCTTCATCTTCCTTTTCTCTTCTCCACTATTATACTACCAAGTTTCGTCACGGTTGTCCGTGAAATGTGCTCAATCGTAAAGAACTGAGCACCGTGAAATTCCTTTACGGTCTGCGTGGAGGCTCGAAACTGAGTTTTTCGTTGATGGGATACTGATCGGTGTAAAGATAGCGTGGAGGGATTTAGACGGTGTTCGAGGGACTTTACTGGTAATAATTATTGTTAATGTAAGACGTGCAAGGAATAAGAGGATGGCGAGTAACTTGCAGAGTATCAAGGAAAGTATTTGTTGGTCAAACGTGGTGTCGGTGGTGGAAAATAAATAATTAAGTCAAATATAACAGAGCTCGCCCCTTATATGTTTTTATTACAAAGAAGATTAGATTATAGCGAATACTATTTTTTTTAATTAAATTTTAATTCACTATAGAATCAGAGATTTCATTGATACTGTTTAATATAATGATTCCTGGATTTCAAATTAAAAAAATTAGTTACAACTCTATTCCCTTGCTAGAAAATAAAATTTTGTTTCTAGGAGGTTAATTAAAATACGAAATGCTATCATACCTCAAGTACTTTTTAGAATTGTAAAAACAATGGTGCGTTACTAGGGAAACTATAGCTATTAAAACATCTGAAATACATATTACGATACAGGTGGATTATAATTTTTTAAGAAGAAAGACAAATAATCTTATTAGAAAAAATCTCATATCTTTCCGTTTGAAACTGATAAAATTTTCACTAAAGTTTAATACTAAAATTTCAAAAACCTTGGCACAGTTTTCAAATCGCTAAACGCACAGATCGCTAATGCCACAGATGTGAATATTAATTAATCATTTGTTTTTCACCGCCGAGCACGATTTTTCATCAACAGGAACAATAGCAAATACAGAAGAGACCTATAACCACTCTGCACAACAGCCAAAGCCAAAATTCTTGTGCAGTCAAGTTTTTTTGGAACATCGCGTTAAAATCGTTTCTATTTCACAGCAGTCAATATAAGATGTTTCTGCTACGACGAATAACCATAATATACACGATAAGACAGCAGTTTAGATAAGATGTTTCTGCAACGACGAACAACCATACTATACACGATAACACGCAGTATAGCTACTGCCCCGGCCGAGGCCATTATTTATATAGATGTACTTACTAGTTATATGTAGTCTGTTTCAATAGTAATAAGATGCTTACCTTATAAATCAGGTTTATGGTTCTAATTAAATCTAAGTAAATTAATATGATCTTTGAAGCATGTTACAGTGTTTTGGTTATATAAAAGTTTGGTATATATCATTTATTTGATGAAAGAATTTTTGTATAGATTTTTATGAGATTTTTTAATGGAAAAATATGTAAGTGGGTGTGTTTGAAGTTTTGTATATTTTTTGAATTAGTACCTACAATTATGGCCTAAACTCTAAACATAAACAAAACGAAAGTCTAGTACTACGTTAGTCGTATATGGTCAGAAATTGTGAACAATCAACTGTGCAAAGTTATAATAATATATACAGTAAAATAGAGAGAACCTCTACGAATCTATTAAAGACAAGAAATAACAAATTATGAAGTTACTCTTGCAACAGACTACACATACAGTGTGTTCGATTTAAGTGTATACGCGTTAATATTTCTCTAACTATAAAAGTACAAAAAATGTTTCGTACAAAATTTGATTCGATGGAAAAGTAGAAATAGAACTTTTAATCATTAATATATCCTATTCTTGCTAATCTACTAAGCATTTCAAGGCGCGTTTAACAACTTATATTAAACTGCATCTTTGAACAAAAATTTATCAATTGTCCCTCTAAGTATTAATACCTAGTTTGAGTAATATCATTTACTCATACTTTAGAAACAATAGAGTGATAATATCCTAAAACACGTTTGCTTGAAAAATAACAGTCATATATTAGTTAATTAGTGTTTCTATCCGACTTACAAATAATTCTATAGCATTCAACTATTCTTATAAACTGTGACATATATATCAGTGACAAATATTAAATTCCAGTTAATATCTGTCCCTCCTGAAGCTGTTAAACAAGTTAAGTTAAAGAAATAGTAGCGTGTATACAATGAAAACGGACATTCTGAAAAGCATCTAAACCGCCGGACGTCGGCACTGTGAGAATTCAACTCTCCTGAGATCAAGGGTCTCGCAAAATCGTGCATCCAGCCATGCTTCAGAATTGAAAATACCTCGCCGACTGTAAATAAACTTTCGCCACGAAAGACGCCTCACAATGCCACCAGGGAAGAGTCCCAGGGCAAGTGTGTGTACGTGCATGTCCTCAATTTCACAAACGTTTGGCATAGATTCGTGATTTTCTCTCTGGCGTACGGATCGATGGATCTCGTATGACCTCAGAGCCGATGTAAATCGATATTCAGGAAACGATAGGTTGGGCTTACTTGTTATATTAATGCTAGCATTACCAAACCAGTCAAAATAATTGTTTTTATAATTGCAAAAATTAATGATTAAATGAATAAAAAGAAATGTGAAAATGGGCTATAGTACACTATAAGATAATAATAAAACAATTGGTAATTCTTTTATGAAAATATTTGGATAAATACCACAATAGTATTTGATGAGATATCTTTTCAGTTGTAGTAAATGTATTATAGTTGAGTACATATTGGAGGTTGGTAATTCCAGTATGAGACTAATTGCACTTTTTGTCATAGAATTATCAAACTTGAGTCTTCTGGGTGTAATAATTTTGCTCAGATAGTATTATTCAATCCCTGAAAGCATCAATTTTGATAATTGTATAATATTAAATCGTGAAAATTTAAACTAAAGGGCAGTGGCAACTATTTGGGAATAATATTATAAATATTTATAAAAGAAAATAACCTCTTTTTTAAGTTTGTATTCCTGTTGAAAATTTTGGGAATTGTTTGTAAGGAGGACAACGAAACGAAACGTGTTTGGGAAGCATTTTATGCGAGAGCACTTATTGCGAATGAAGAGGAATTTATACAGCAAAAATAAAAGCGTGTATAGGTTGTTTTTCAACGTGTGTTAAGACTTGAACTTATGTTAAAAGTTAATATATAACATTAGAATAGAATAATATATAATGTTAGACGTAATCGACAAGTTTTGCTTGTAATTTATCTGACGCCAAACTATTACGATCCTTTGTAAAAATGTTAATAAACTAATTCGTTTAAAAAGGTAATATATCACTCATTTCATGCGTACGTAACATTAAAATAACTTTTCTTTTAAGAAGTAAAATTATTTTTTGTAATAATGAATTTCATAATCTTTAGGTTACTTTCATTGATTTTATAAATTTAGTCTTCTATAGATCTTTGATAATGAAAGGTTGATAATAAGAGATATGCCAACAATATCGAATAAAAGAATGGTATTTTGGCTTTACTAACGTTATTAGGATCTAATATTAAAATGAAATTATTATAACAAAGGAATTTAAGAACTTACTTGACTGGTCATTACAAGTTAGAAGATCATATTGCGAATATCGAATTTCATTCATGCAATACGTATTATCTGTTCATTTGAGACGGATTAGACAATGTGTAATTAGAAAATAATATTCAATTTTACACTCGCTATTGAAACACAGATAGATACTAACGCCATCTACGATGGTTGTGATAAAACGTGACAAAACAAATATGGCGGAAGACAAGATTGGTTCATTGGAGGAGGAAGCTTTGAAACGAAAAGAACGCTTGCAGGCTTTGAAAAAGAAAACCGAAGATAACAAAGAAAACCAAAATGATAGTGTTAGTACGTTACCAAAGTGAGTTTCGTTGTTCTTCTTTTAAGTGATTGTAATTTTTAAATCTAACCTCATCTAACCTCAACTAACCTCTAAAGATCGATACTTATTTTTGTATTTGTTTACTTTATCGCCACAGACCGAAATTTCGGAGTTACAAACCACAGGATGACAGTCTTAAGGACAAAGTATTAGAAGATGCACAGCCAGGTAATGTTGAAGAGGAAGTACAAGATCAATTAAGCGCTGCAGTTACAAAAGTTGTTATTGAGGAGCTTGTAAGTAATTGTTTACAATAGATCAAAGTATTTGTTGTTATTTGATATTTATTTAATTACAATCTTTTAGGATATTAGCAATCTTGCTCCCAGGAAACCAGATTGGGATTTGAAGCGGGATGTTGCAAAGAAATTAGAAAAATTAGAAAGGAGGACTCAGAAAGCAATAGCTGAGCTTATAAGAGATCGTCTTAAGCAAGAGCAGCATGATTGGGCTGCTGTGGTAAATGTCGCAACCAACGATCAGACAAAGAACCATTCTTAAGGAGTTTTAAATCTTTTATAAGATTTTAATAACTTTGTGCATATAAGTATAACACAATAATAAAATATATTAGTAATAATTTTATTTATTATCGTCTAGACTACTATAAATTTCAGGACAATATATTTCATAGACATATTCATGAAGAGAACTTATTATCTATAAGATTAAAGTATATGTATATTATCATAAGATTAAGGTATGTTATCATGGCAGCGGTAGGAACTGTTGAATAAATACATACTAGAATTTTTGGTAGGCTTTATAACTTATAAAATACTTCTATATCTTTATTCATCAAATAAAATGCAATCAAATTCAATTATCATTTGTTTTCTATTTCTATTGCTTTGACTGTCACATTATGAAGAAAGATTATATGTATCTACTGTTTAAAATCAGTCAATGTAAAATTTCTTTAAGTATTTATGTACATTGTTTAATATATCCCTAGAACTAAATGGTAATATACGCGTAATTGCGCGAGCACAAAAATAAAAATATTTATTTCCATTCTTATTTAGATTAGAAATAAATATCATAGATAACAGAACCTTTGAATACAGATGCCCCGAAGAAGATAAATAATACCTTTTTCATAAGAAAATGTATTATATCAATACTTATTTAGAATTCTTATCGATTACTTTAAATTACAGAATAGTCAATGTGATTGACTAGAGTTTCTAGTACATTGAGCCGATTATTGATATGGTAAGACAAGAGTGGCTGCAAGTATCACTGCAAATGCTGTAACAAAAATAAATATTCCTTTAATATCTAAAATTATGTTACTTTTTCAGATTAATATATATTTTACTTTCGCACACGCTAAATTACTACTTTGATTTCATAAAAATTAACTTGCCAGGCTGATTTCGTTATATTATACAATTAAAGAAATTTATGACCATAAATAGAAAGGGATACATACGTGACACAGTCCACATGTTTGCCCCAGAATATCCATTATCTTTCTTATTATCTACAGGAGCCTCTTTAAGTGTATTAGTATCCAGTTTCTTAGGTGCAGGAGAACTCGCTATTTCTGGTATTTTGGCAAGAGCGGGAGCTGCGGTAGTTTGTTCATCTCGGACATTACGATAAACCGTTCTACCGTCCAAGGGTTGTACTGGGCGGAAATTATGCGTTATATCATCGCCATCGAAGGATTGAATAGAGCGGAATGCAGCCAGCTGAAAAAAAAAATCAAGCAAATATAGACAATCAATTATGACTATCAGTCGAGTTAAGAGGAAACACGTTTCAGGATTATTTACGTAAAACATTTCCAGAATGTTTGAGGAAATCTAAAAATAAATTCCAACGCTGCCATTCAAAATAATTCTTCATCCTCTCTCTTACCATTTTATACTAATTATTTTTTAAATAATACTTCTCTACCTTATCTCCTTAAATTTCACGTCTATGTCTGGAATTTCATTCATCCTGTAACGTGTTTGTCAATTTCTTAACTAAGAATAGCAGCTTATTTAACCATCGAAAGAAATTACTTTCTCCGGTAAAAGGTTTCTAATAATCAAGTTTGGACAGCCGTGAAAGAAAGCGTTTGTAGAAGATATTTGTACAATATTCTTCCATATTCACTGTTAGACGACGTTAGAACCTAGACAAATACTCTAAAGGCACCCTTGTACTAACGGAATTTATATTGAACTCGATTGCTTTTGAAATACCTGCTCGTGGGAAATATGTTGAGGTTTCGCAAAGTCGATCCACTGAACGATTTCCAGACAAGGAGGTGTGGTCAGTGATCCTTTATATGTAAAATAATCTTGCGCTGATGCAAGATCAGGAGCGATCAATTTGCTTAAAATATCGCTATTCCTTAACAACTCATTGCTGCCAGCCTTTCTTATTTCCAATATTTGCGACACGACCGATGTGAACACCGGATTTGGTTCATTCGTGGCCTGTAACAAACATTTCTCTCGATAAGATTTTTCCAACAATTTTTCCAATTATACAGATAAAACTCGCTACGATATTCTCTTCGTCGATTAAAATCATCTTTTTTATCTTCGAACTAACATCAAACATATTCGATCGAACTTGTCGAGACGCGAGCGCCGACAAAAATAGGTTTCGCATAAAATGCTTCTGTTTTAAAAGAAACAAACTCGTGAATGTATGTTTTTCACGTTTGTCTCAATAAAATTACCAGACTGAGATACGATTACAATAGCCTTCTCGTCGATTAAAGTTTCTCATCTAGAAACGCGTTTCGATCGAATTTGTTGAAGCGTAAACACAGACAAGAATAGAATTTCTATAAAGTATTTCTATTTTTGAGAAAACAAACTTATGAACGCGTATCCTCCACTCGAACGCCCTGTCCAAGTTTTCCGAATCAATTTAAACCATTTAAAGAGATGCGGAATATACGTGAAATAACGTTAGGTATTACGTACATGCACCCAGTTAGAGTCGGTTTGCGCGATTTACATAACTGATTTTAGGTATAGAGTACGCAAATTCGTGTATACAAACTCTTAGGAAAACAGAAATATCCATAACGGAGGCATGAAAGCGAGACGAAGTCTCTTCATTCTACGTCTTCGACTGGAACTACTCGAAATTGATACTAATCGATTTGATTAGTAACAGATACCGCACCGCAAACTGTGAATTTTTATGCAAATTGGTACTTCTTATAATTCCAATTAAAGAAACGGAGCGTGGGCGAGAGATCTATATCGTTCGTTAAGTATACTTTTTTACATTTCTATATTTATATTCTGTGCATTTTTGCAAACTTTAAATTTAAACGTATAGAAATCCGCAGCCTATTTACATTGTTAGATCGACTAGATTGACTTTTTGTCTTATATTAAAATATTTCGCGATTTTACGTTTAGTAGAAGGAAAAGTTTTCTTCAGAAATATTTCTCAAAAATTTTCGCAATATCTCTCGCGAAGAAAAATTTTCTCCGAAAATTTGCAACATTTCTGACAGTCGATAAATCTTATCGAATATTTACTGAAATTTCCAAGAGAATTAATCGTTAAGTTGCCATTTTCTTCGTGATAATTTCCGATAAAATGGCATATAGGAATTTGCTCGGCGTAGCAATAAATAATTGTCAATATTTGATACTTATATACCTGATACCAGTATCCAAGTACACTGAGACCATCATCGTGTTTTATCGCTTCGTCGTAGGTGCCATATGCCTTCTTCCAGAAAACTGCGTGCATTTCCATGGAGTACGAGTGATTGTTTATCAGATCCTCGGATCCTAGACTGTCATTGTTTCCCCAGTGGAAGTGCAATTGTTCGAACACGTATGTGCTGTTGAGGGACGCGCCAGATATCTCAGGGGATTCAGAATCGATACTCTGGATCATCACTAAAACCATGAAAAACATACAGATGTCAATATTTCTCGTGTTTGCAAAATTTATCTGACGAAGCGGTCTTATTTCCTGGAGGCCATTTTTTTCTAATGCGTATGATTCCTCGAAGCTTTATCTTAATCGAGACAAGACAATGACTGTAACGTGCTATAATCGACGTTAATTTGCAGCTGTTCAAGGATAAGAGTCACGTTCAAAGAACGCACAGAACAATCGAAATGATCCTACACGGGTTAATTCAATTTCTAAGTTTTCTACCTTCTTGGAAAGATACCTGAACTAATCTCTTAAACAATACTATGTACATACAATCGCTGAACGAAAGCTTAGCGTTGAACGCGTTATTACTGGGTTTTGCATAGCTACACGCGATGCTCGTTACTTTTAATTTGCCAAACGATTCAACATCGTCGAAGAACGCGCGAATGCTGTTGGGAATTAAAACGATGAGATTTATAATTAAACAACGCAAAAGACAAACGAATCTATATTCTAATTAGATAATGCAATGTATTTCGGTATGCAGTCGGATAGGAATATTCGCGCGTGTTTGTAACAAAGGAAATAAAACTGACGTAACTTAATATAAAAATGCAACGAATGACAAGGAAATTCGTATTCTAATTAAACGATGCAACATCCTTTAGTATGCAAGGGAATAAGAATAGGTACGTATAAGGAATTATTAATTCTTAAGTTATCATCGTGTCTACTAACTATCGACTATAAGATTATTGCAACGTCACAAAACGTATATGCATTCGAATCGTCGGATGTCCGATGTTCCTTCGCGTAATTCGATTGCCTCTTATGTTCTTAATAAATCATCACAGAAAGTTCTCTGTCTCTGTAATTTTTCTTGCTGTACTTTCCTTTGTAATAGCAGCAATACGCTTTCCGAACGTTTATTTCGATTTTATAACTTTCTGCTTCGACTAACGCTTTTTCTTTCGCAAATTCTTACGAAACACTCTTTCACAAAGCTGCTTACACGATAGGTCCCTTGCAGTGATACGATATTTCGAATAGACTGACAGTATCAGCGAAAAAGATATTTGCTAGAACTGTTTAATAATCGTTTAATCTATTTGTGAGAGATAATGTACTTTAAAAGTAAAATGTCTTTTTCCTGTTTGTTTACGCTTTAACGAACTAGACGACGACTATCATCGTTCATTTACTCGTCGGTATCTCGACCTTGGCGTTCCATACCTGTATGGCCATTGTTCATTATGAGAGCTTTATGGGGTTTCTGGAGACCGGAAAATTCCAGATCCGGATAAGACGCAGGCGCAACATTGTTCTCTTCTATGTCAATCGGAGATTGAAATTTCCCAACGCACGTGTCATGATCGTCGTTGGTCCATATCGAAGAAGCTGGAAAAGATACTTTTTAGAATACACGTTTAACAAAACGAAGACGATCAAAGATTCGCTTTTCTACTTTATACAAACTTTATCGATCCCATTATGTCGCAAAAGATCAAACCAATTTCTAAATTAACTGATTCTATATATTTTCACGTTTCGTAATTTCACGATCTCGAACGTAAATTTGTTCACCGTTCTAAATTTCCAAAAAATTGCAAACAGATTCTAAAGTATCTTTCTGTCGTATCGTCTAACTGTTCGTTAGATCAAATGCTTAATAAAAGAAAAAGAAAAAAATTGTCTTCGAAGAAAGTTAGGTGTGAAACATCGCTTGCAATGGCAAAGTCTATGTACGAGCAAACTGACGAGAAAATAAGGTAAATGTTACACCGTTTGTTTCATAAAAACATAATAATTATACATTATATAATCTTTTCCATATCTGAGTCATAAATACGAGCGAGATCGTGAAGAGATTACAATGTTGAACGAGTAATAACGTTTA